ATAGAGAAGCCAGAGGCTAGTGTGCACACAAGAAAGCCAGTCAGTGAAAATGTAAATTGCAGCCAGGGAGAAGGGGAATGAGGAGGCAGAGGCAGGGAGAAGCAGCAGCAGCAGCGAGGAACCAGTTTCCAGTTGCTAGGCCCCAGCGCAGCCCCCCACCAGCAGGAAGCTGTTCTTGCAACCCAGCCTTGTGGAGAGTGGGGAGAGAAGATGAGTGGGGAGAGAGGCAATAGTGCCGGCATATCTTCCACTTCCCTAGCCCTGGCACAGCTCCTCTGACTGGAAGCTGCATCTATGTTGCAGCTTTAGAGAAGGGAAGCAGGGGGCAAGGAGAAGTGGTGGTAGTGTGGGCACAGCTCCTGGCAGCTGAGTCCCATATAGGAAGAGAAATAGTAGACTAGAAGGAGCCCTCCTGGGCCACAGAGCTCAGTTCCCTGCATTTACAAACCACCACATATCAGAGTCCTTATAACTACCCAATGCAACCCATCTCATACACCATAGACAAATCACATTACAAAGGCAAAGTTAAAAACATCCTTCAGTATGCCACAGGTAAAAAACAGGGGAGACAAGCATGCCGACAATGCCCTGCTATTTTAACGGAAGAGATGTTGAGGTATTAGGTTAATATACAATGAGCTGATCCTGGGAGATGGATGGGAAGAAGTGGTAGTGGCACCAGCACAGGTCCCAGCTCCCCAGCCCTGGCACAGAACACTGCCTCACGCTGCAGAGAAAAGCAAAAACCCTACAGTCCTCTCCAGACTGTCTTCAGAATTTGGTATTTCCTTTGGTTATGAACTTTTAAATCCAATTGAAGCATTCTGTAAAGTAGTTCAAAAGAAAATCAGTGTACTGAACAACAGTTGAGATATTACCACTAGTATAAAATTAGCATTGTTTTGTTTTTTGGACCTGACGCTTCAATCTACAAATATTTCATTTGTCTAAAATGTTGGGGGGAGGGACATAAAATTAAACAATGTTTAGGGAGTAGCAATATTATTTCTAGCTGTACATTTCATACCCAAGTTCAAAACCAACTTCTTGCTACCTAGTCTTATGCGGGGTTTTAAATTCTTCCCATTCTTGGTACTGACTGGACATGGCCAGAATGGAGAAGGAACTAAAATTTTACTGTAGAGAAAACAAACAATCCAGGCAAACAAGACAGACTATATAAAAGAGTCAATCCTTCAATCTCCCTCTGCTATGGTTGTAATGAATAATACTGAAAATATCTTACTTCATTTCTAAGAAGTGCTGAACACTCAGGCCTCTAGCTCATGTTACACTTAAGATGAGATTAACTGAATACAAAAAATGGGTAATAATTTTGTGCTTGGTTCCTATTTCATCATTAATTGAACACATGGCCAGACTATGGCTCCCATCCACAGGGTGTGCCCCTTGTCACAGTACAGCAGTGCAATGCTGTAGCCAGTAGGGCAAATAATACTCCGGCATGCATCAATCAATGGATCTCCAGCAAAACCAAGGAGGTGATTCTTCCACTCTACTCAGCACTGGTGAGACTGCAGCTGGAGTACTGTGTCCATTTCTGGGCACCACACTTTAACAAGGACATGGACAAGCTTGAGAGAGTCCAAAGAAGAGCACCCCATATGATCAGAGTCTTACACAGCAAGCCATACAAGAAAAGGCTGAGGGATCTGGGACTCTTCAGCCTGAGGGGACCTGGTAGCAGCTTATCACTACACTAGGGGAGTACACCAAGGGCTCGGTGAGCTACTGTTCACCAGAGCACCCGAGGGGAAAACTAGGAGTAACAGCTACAAACTCCTGGAAGACTAATTCAGGTTTAACCTTAGGAAAAACTTCTTTACAGTCAGGGTGTCCAGACTGTGGAATAAGCTCCCTCCAGGGGTGGTGCAATCCCCCACCCTGGAAATCTTCAAGAAGAGACTAGACAGCCACCTTGCTGGGATTACCTGACCTCGTTATCTTTCCTGCTTGGTGCAGGGGGCTGGACCCGATGATGTACCAAGGTCCCTTCCGGCCTTACAATCTAAGAACCTGTGAAACAGAGTGCCCCATTAACTGACAGGGCTTCCAGCCACAGGAGCTAGCTATTTGCCAGTGCAGAGGGAGCCCAGGAAAATAAACTCAGCCCCCCCCCTGCACCAGCAGGAAGACGTGATGGAATCTTATACTCTATCCCACAATCATGCCTCCTGCCATGCATGTGTGGCATAGCAGGAACCACAGTTGTAGAGATCATACATCATAGCTCATGGATTCTTTACCTGCATGCCTGCCAGGGGCCTCTGAATTCCAACTGAAGTCAATAGGAACCGAGGGCTTTCAGAACCTAAAATTGGTTCATTATATTTTTTTTAGTTATGCTTATTGAACAGAGATTAATTATTTCTCTGATTGCTACATAATATTCCATGAACGGGAATCCATATCTGTAAATCTCTAAAAGATTTTTGACAGGTATTATTTTGAATATTTTAATATGCTTAAGTTGTTTATTATGAATAAAAAGTGTCAGGAAAGTCACCAATTTTAAAATATTTTATGCTTCTTCTTCTTCACCTTGTTCAAATCAGTGAGAGGAATTTATGAACTATCTAACAAAGGAAATACAGTACCTGGAACCACTGTGTGCAATATAAGTCACAAAATAACTAACTGATTAAAAGATTTTACTTCCTTTACACACCTTGTGCACTAACATCACATGAAATAATGAATGCATGCCTGGCTCTCCTGTTCAAAAAAATTTAGATTAGTACTTTTTCATTACAGAGTTAGTCTGGAAGGTTATTTTTATTTATTTCTAAACTGCACCTTGCTCTGAAGCTGTGTAACTTCTTTTGCAAAAACACTATCAATTGTGGCTGGCATTTGCTTGTAGATAGAATTGGAGAGGTCTTTCTTAGCAGATCCTTTGTACTTTGCCTAGAGAGGAAAAAAGGAAACAATACAGCAATAGCTTCAAGCAGAATCACATAATAACTTAAAAAAAACTTTGTTTCAATGCGAAATAAAATGATACAGCAGAACTGTCATATGGGAAAAGACATAAAAACATGTCACAGAGGAACTTACAGATTTATGCAGATCATCAAAAAATTCTTTAAAGAATTTTAGATGAATGAAGCTAATCCATAAAATAATGTAAGGTACATCTCCCCTACCTCTTTTTTCACCTCAGAAAATGGTACCAAAATATTAGAAATACCCATGTAAATACCTGTGTTCTTATATGTACCATCCTTAAAAGGATCTCATAGCACCCCCGAGTGCTATGGCCCACTGGTCAGGAATCACTGATTTAGACTGTAATTTCAAGGCAGGCACAATTCCTGTTCATATGTATAGCACAGTGAATGCCTAGACACTAGTATAATAAAAACAATAACTCTTCCATAGCTCTCTTTCCATATCTGTAAATTGAGTGTAGCTTCGGCTGTAATAGAACCATATACATTTAATGCCTGTAAAGTGCTTGGAGGCCCTAAAAGAAAAGTATTATATAATTCCATGTTATGATTATACACAAACTGCATACAGTAGTGATAGTGCTTTAACTCACTTAAACTTTTAGATCATATTGTTACTTGATATAAATATACTCTTCCTTTAAGAATACTGCTATTCAAGTAAACGGACTTTTTCTTGGTGAATCAGTACTAAAGAACATGCTGCAATCTTTTATATCTTACCTCAGAAATAAAAGCACTGATATTTTTCGCATGATTTAGCTGAGGGGTGTCAGGAACAAATATGCACTTCCCTTTAGATTTTTCATACTCTTCTTTATAGTGTATCTGCAAAGAGAAAAATGACTTTAAATCAACTCTAAAAATAGAAATATACAATAGTTTTCTTTTTAGATTTATCCCACTCCTTTGGACTGGACACTAGAACTCTCAGTTCTATGTTGTATCACAGGCTGTATCAAAGTAATTCACAGAGAAAATAAACAACTTATAAACTGAATACATAGGTAATGCAAAAATCATAGAAATCTTTTATATGAAAAAATAAAAAAGGATTGTTTTTCATACTATAGTTTTCTTCCACTCTACTGTTTGCAATTCATGAAATGTACTTCTTTTTTTTAAATGGAAGGTGTAGTTTTCTTTCTGGGCTAGGTAAAGAAATAACACATAAACCAGTATAAGTGATCAGAAACTGGTCTAAACCTGTAACAGAAGAGAAGTTCAGTGCACATAGACTGGTTTCAAAATGGCAGACCCAGTTTAAGATAGACCTGAATGGATGTAGTACTGTATCAGATTTAATCGGTTTAGGTTAGACCCGTCTATCGAATTTCTGTTCCAAATCCCCTCCCAACTCAAGTTAGGCCACAGTCCGTTGGTATCCTAGGATGCATTGCAGCCATCAGCTACCCACTCCCCACCCCCTGGAGGGAGCCTGGGCTAGCCGCCACCAGTGCTCCTCTGCTCTGGCTGAGCTGGTCCAGCCCCACGCCTGGGTTGTCACAGAGATGAGGCAGCAAAGCCTTGGCACCTCAGCTTGCATCCTGCCTGTACCCATCAGCCTAGCAGAGCAGCAGGGGGGAGACAGGGGAACAGAGCCCCCTTGCCCTGGCTCTGGCCTACCCAAGCTGGGGTTTGCCCAGCCTGGGGGGGCCCCCTACACTGCAAGGGCTTTCCCCCCACCCTGATCCTGGAGCTCCCAAGCTAGGGTCTCTGCAGCTGGAGGGTGGGGGGAGAAGGGGTACACGCCACAGGGGTTTTCCCCTGCCCCGGCCCCAGTCTCTGGAGCTGGGGTCTGCCAGCTGTGGCAAGGCCTGTACCATGGGGATTATCCCCTGCCCTGGGCAACCCTTCCATGGGCAAAGGTAGTGACTCACAGTGGACAGAACTGAGCAGCCTGACCTAGCCAAGCCAAAGGGAACCCCCCACAGTGAAGGGCTCCCCCAGCTGGGCAGACCACAGCTGGGGAGGGACCAGGACCCCACCACCATCTGCCATCGCAGGGCTGGAGAGAGACTCCATGTTAGCTTTCTCCCTTTCTCCCCACCAGCTCACAGTAAGGGATTGGGGGCGTGTGCTGGGAAGCCAATCTGGGATGGCCCCTACTAGACTGGGCTTCGTTGCCCTCAGCAATGGCCAGCAGACTGGGAGGTGTGTGGGAGTGCTCATTGCCTTCTGGCCTCAGCCAGTGCAGGTGTCTGCCTGCCTTCACCAACCAGAGTGAATGTGAGTTCTGTTCACTAATAGTCCAGTTTATGCCGCTTCGAGAAACTTGTGAAGATTGAATTGTTCCTCCTTGGGCTTTTTCACTGTCTGTATTTAGCCTTGATTTCAAGGTCAAAATTGTTAAAATCATCCTCTACGTTCCCACATTCAACCTTTACAATGCACATCTGTATTTTACAGTAGCATAAAAATGCCATTTTATGCATCTAACATCTAATGTACATCAGTTTGCAGTCTCTGATAAAAAAGACCGTCTCCAAAGACAAATAAAAAATCTTAAGTTAATTAATACATTTTAAAGTCTGTTCTATGTACAACAGAGAATCCTTTTTGTACTTTTCAGTATAGAAACAAAAATAAAAATGCCTTTCAACCTTCCTTGCCAAAAATAATTGGTTATGTTCAAATGCCAACACAAATGAATTCCCAACCTTAAACATATCATAAACTTTACAGCATACATGCATCTAAAACACTTATATTACTCTTACTGAAGTCAGAGTTACAGCTTTGCATCAGAGGGATTATAAAAAGCCTCATACTATTTATTCAATTCAAAGTGAATTATTTAGGATTGTTTTCTCATCATTATCTGCTATGATTTCTGTAACCTCATTTTTACATTTTGCACTGCAAACTTGCTGAAAAATACTGACAGAAGCAATATGACCTGCATCTGAACATTAGGGGAAAATGTAGTCTTCAATTTCCTCACTCCTTGAATCTTTGATGAATATCACAAGCTCTAGCCAATGTTCCTCAAAGATGAATTGGAAAACTCTTCTCTAGGATGGTAACTTGGTCTCCCTTCAGAGTCAATTTTTGGCCTTTCTAGTGACAAAGAGAATTTGTTAACCATATTTATTAATCTGAAGTCAGGCAGAAGGTAGGGTGGATATGCACCTTTTAGACTAAGAGATACATAGCATGAGCTTTCATGAGCCCAGCCTCATTTCATCAGATGCTGTGAAAGGACATGCACAGAGAAGTGTATTAAATGAAGAGAATGATTTCGATACAAAAGACAGGGAGGGAGGGAGGGAGGGAAGGGAGAGGGAAAGGCAAACAAGCCCATAGGGTGAAAGGGATCCAAATGGCCGATCCAGGTAATGTCTTTTGTAGTCACACTAGTAGGGACTG